AAAAATAAAGCATAGTAATGCGTCCCTTTAGATGAATAAATATGTAAAGGGTCTCATAAGTTAGAACATATTAAATGTAATAGGCCTTTAGTCTAAAAGTTAAAATTAGAAAATAAGAGTTTCTTAGCCTTGTTAGGACAACGGATATTGCATAAACTATAAGGTATTTTATTAGAAAAGGAAGGAGAAGAATTAGCCAAAGCATGCTGAATAGTCTAAATTGAAGCATGGTCGAGTCTAGCATGCCAAGTTGAAAGGGAGGTGAAGTTTGCTTGAATAGACAATGACTTGGAAAAAACAAAATAAAGAATAAAGATCATTATTTATCAAGCTGTGGCAAAACTCTCCCTTCGTTAGAAAATCCTTGATAAAAAAAATAAGAAGGAAAGAATACAACAAAGATAGTTTTAGATTTTATGAATCAAGAAATAGATAGTAAATTATGATTAGCTTTAGGAACATATAAAATGGAATTCAAGTTGAAAGAATTATTACCAAAAGAGATAGAGTTGGATCTAATATGAGAAATAAAGAGTTTGGAACCATTACCTATTTGCATTTCTTTAAGACTAAAGTATTCGGAGTGAACACCAATGTTCTCCAAGTTGGCAATTAGATGATGAGTTGCACTTGAGTCCAAGATCCATGGTTGAGAGTTGGCTGCCATTAGAGAGGTGGGTGGCCGATTACTAGGAAGTGATGAATGGTGGATTTTGGGCTAGGTGGATTTGGCTAGGCAATTTTGGCCACATGCCTAAGACCTCTGCAGTTCAAACATTGAATAAGGCTATGAAATGAGCTATTGTTGCTAGAAGACCTTATGTGTTTGGGTGTCTCATGTTAGAAAAAGATGAGAAATTGGGTTGGAATTGCCCACGACCACGAACAAGACCACGAAAGCTCGATTAGCCATGGCTCTATTTCTATCGTGACTAGTGGAAGTAAAACGAGTAGAATATTATGCTGATGGTTGGACAAAATCAAACACGGAGGCATTATCTTTAGCAAGCTATGATTCTTCACTTAGCAATAGACCATAGAGGTCATCAAAGGAGATGGGTTGGAGCTAAGCCTCAATGCTACAAACAGATGGATGATACATCGGTCCAAGACCACTAAGAATATGAGAAAAAATCATGCTCCCGAATCGGATGATTTAGAGCATATAGATCGAAATTGTTTTGGCTCTAGTCATATAAATAATGATGGAGTCATTCTTATGATCAAGGTTGTGCAAGGAGGATATAAATTGGTGAATTTGAGTGACAGAGCTAGAAGCATAGCTTTGGCAAGTTTTTATCTTGCGGCACAGTGCTATCCTAACACCTACAATCTAGGAGAGGATGGTTTCAATCAAGGAGCAAGCAATCCAATAGAGAATGAGTTTTTTTTTTAAACCAAACAAAGTAATTTGGATTTGGAACTCTATCGGCATGGAACCGTGGAGTAGGATAATAGAGCCATCAATATGGTGAATGAGGTTGTACTCGCATAAGCGAGGGTAGAGTTGACTTTGCCAAAGTATGTAGCTTATAAGAGAGTTTAATGGATAGTTTGCTAGAATTTGAGAAAGAAGGAGTTGCATTGTTGGAAGCGATAGCAGTTGTGGTAAAGAGAGAAGTATAGGATCGGACATGATGGAGAAGAGAGAGAGAAAGTATAGGAACAAAGTTTGTGATATGTGGGAAGTGTGGAAATTTGTTGCAGAAAGATTTTAGTGAAAAACGAGTTTGAAGGAATGATTTAAAATATGATAGTAGGATGAATGAGTTTGTTTAGTAATAACTAGTCGATTACCCGCGTTATGCTTGCGGATCCGGTAGAACAAAATCATTTTAAAAATTTAAAAATTTTTTATTATAATTTTTTATTTAATTAAATTTTCTAATGTTTTTTTTATAAATTTTTTGCTTAAACTGTGGTATCTCGCTCGGTAGCTATAAATGCATGCACGAGTGGGGAGTTTCCTTTCAAGTTTAAAAACATAAATCATTCTTCTTTATGGATTGATTTTAACTAAAATATTAATCAAGAATTAAAAAAATTAAATATATTTTTCATAATATTGTATTCCAAAAAATAAAGTTATAATTAATAGATAAACTTTTATAAAAACTAACAAATGGAAAAAAAATTCTTATTTAATGTTGATGATAAGATTAATTTTTGAAATTATTCACACAACGTTACATGTAGATAGAAAAAAAATATTTCAAAATTTTATAATATTTTTTATTAAGTTTTTATTTAATTATTAATATTTTTTGTATTTTTCATAAATTTCCGCTTAAAAAAACATGATTTATTTTTCTTTATTTAGGGATTCCTAAATTAAAACTTGTAATAAATAATTTAAACCTCAAATATTAATTAAGAATTTAAAAATAAATACTTTAAAAATATATTGTTTTATAAGAATATATCCAAAAAATAAAGTTACAATTAATGTATAGACTTACATAAAAATTAACCAATGAAAAAATAAAATTTTATTCTTATTTAATATTGATGAAGATTATTTTTTTAACGTATATACATTTGATGTATATATATTATATAATTTTCAGTTTGTTGGAAAAAAGTAACAATTGATTTTAAAAAATTTTAACACCCAATTAAATAAAAAAACATAAATTGATGAAAAAATCGAAGAAAAAAAGACATTTAGTGCGTCAACTAGAGATTAAGATTTTTGTTTTAAAATTTCAGGGATCAAAATGAAATAATTTAAAAAAAAAACACCTAAAAGTAAATAGTACATTGTGAGGGTAAGGAAAAAAAAACAAAAAAAAAAGGAGTGAATAGTACAAAAAAGAAAAGTTTAGGATAGTAAATTTTATTTAGTTTTATTATAGTAAGGATAAAAATCAAATATGATAAAACTTTAATAACTAAAATAAAAACATATCACAAAATAAGAATAAAAAAAGAGCATAAATTTTTACTAAAAGCTAAGAAAAAAAATTATTATAGGGATAAAAATCAAATATAGTAAAATATTTAATTTTATTATAATAAGGATAAAAATCAAACATGATAAAAATTTAATGATGAAAATAGAAACATATCACAAAATAAGAACAAAAAAAACATATATTTTTACTAAAAGCCAAGAAAAAATATTTATTATAGGGATAAAAATAATAAATAATAATTTTTAATGACCAAAATAAAAAAATATTACAAAATAGGGACCAAAAAAATTCCTAAAAACTTGGCTAAGAAACCGAAAACATGATAAAAAATCAAATATAATAAAATATTTAGTTTCGAGTACAATAAAGATAAAAATCAAACATGATAAAACTTTAATGACTAAAATAAAAATATATCACAAAATAAGAACAAAAAAAAAACATAAATTTTTATTAAAAGCTGAAAAAAAAATTTATTATAGGAATAAAAATGAAATATAATAAATTTTTAATGCCCAAAATGAAAAAAAATATTATAAAACAGGGATCAAAATAAAAAAAATTACTAAAAGCTTGCTAAGGAACCGGAGGAGAAAAAAAGAGATGCAAACAGTGACAACCCGGAGGGGAAAAAAAGAAAAAAGAAAGGTGAGAAAGTTCATCGTTCATTTACTGTTCAAATGAACAGTAAACTTTTCACATCTTTTAGTTTTTAGTAGAATAGAATAGAATAGGTGGAAAGGTTGAAGAAGATGAGGGTAGGTGGAACTGGCAGGAGGGGAAAAAAAAGAAGAAAAAGGAGCGGGTTTGTTTAGTATCAAGCCAAAGTTATACCATGAAAGAATTGGTATTTTGATATATGTTTACAACTAGGATACAAGGGTAGATAGAGTCGTAAAAATTATCTATTTCTGTTTAAATTTTAGTTTGAATTTACATTTGCTTCAAGTTTTGAATACTCTGATCCTTATCGAAGTCAATCTCTATTATATAAATTCGAAGCGTGCTCCTTTCCATCTTTCCTCTCTTCAATGGTCAAGACCTGTACATGCAAAGATTTAGTCATCTCTTTCCTAGATTCTAAAAAAGTCACTTCTTGCAAAACGTCTTTTATATTCTTGATTCTTGATGGGATAATGAATGGCCTCCCTTCTCTTTGTATTTGCTAATGTTGGCATCACATGAATGAAAATGTATGGAGGATCCAACTGCTAGTTCATCATTTGTTTTTTGGCTGCTATTAATGAAATATCATGGACTTACCCGAATATTCCCATCCTTTTGTAATGATTCTTTTGTGGTTACGTTTGTTTCCAAGGAAACTCGAAACCCGGCCTAGAAGCTCGAGGCCCGTCACAGGCTGGGTTTAAACTTGGAAGTTGGCCCGAACCCGGCACGGTGCGGTCCATGAACATGTCTACTTTCTGCATACCCCTGCCTGCTTGATATAGGTTCCACTGATAGCCAACTCCCTTGCAACTTGGAAACTTCTCCAATCATTTCTTCGTCTATTCAATTACGTGTCTCTAATAAATTACTCCACACGTATGAATTGGCCGAAATATTGGACTAACTTAATAATTAGCTAAAAACAATGAAGCTTTTTATTTAACACCGAATGTACCAAACCACCTCTTAATTTGTCAAGCATGAAATTAACCTAAGAGTTTGGAAACACATATTTGATAGTACTATTATATATGCTACTTGATCTCCAAGCCAAAACTATATATGATAGAAGTGTTCTTACACATTTTTCTAATTGAACGTTGAAATTTCGTCACTTCAAGTTGAAGATCTATGCCACTCCTTGAAGACCACGTAATTAAACTTGAGAGTGTTATAAAGTTTAGTCTTTGGTCAAAGCAGGCACTACCCAGGAAACTTGGTTTTTCTAGCAGTTGAATCTAATAAAAAAAAACTTTGGACTCTTTCTTCTTATTATAAATAGAGAATTCCCCAATTATTGAAGCTCGTCAAGAAACCTTGCAATCGGAAGTCTTCTCAATCATTTCTTTCTGTTGATATAAAGCCAAAAAAAACAGCACTGATCTACAGAATCGAAGAACAAAGATATCAAAAGCCATGATGGTTCATTTCTCAGCCATTTTCAGTTGTTTTGGCCTCTCATCATCTTCACCTTCTTGGGCCCCCAATGTTGAAAAAGTCACTGATGCAAAACAACATAGTCCTAAAAAATTAGAGCGCAAAACAGAATCATCCGGAGCTCCCATTGTAGTTTCCTACTTTCCTGTTAATTCTTACCGCTCTCTTCTGTAATCTTTTTTCTTATAACAAGAAGCTATTCAGCATGCAGACATCAGGTGGTAAACATGATTCCTACCGCATATTCAGCCCGGGAAACTGCAACGCTGACATATAATCAACCACTTCAAGTGTAATGGAGTTTGCAGGGTACCTAGAAATGGTTTCAAGAATGTGTATTTAATTATATGATTTTTTTATTAATAAAATAAAATAAAAAAATTGCATGTACTTTAATATTTAAATTAGACCTAATAATTTGGTCTTGGGTGGGATTGCTATATGATTACTTTGTTTAAAACAGTAACAAAGTGTCATAACTATTGCTTGACAAGTTGCTATATATTTGATCAAGGAATTTCCTAGGCAACTGAAAAAAGGAAAGAAAACTATTAACTAGTGAACGCTGGCTAAAATATAACCATTCTATTTATAACATAGTTTTAAATCGCGGATAATTGAAAGAACAATCGTGATCGTTATCGTGGATCACGACTTGCTATAATATTAAAATAACGATAACGAAATATTTTAAAATTATTACATAACAAATATTATATAATGTAACTATCGTTATTTAAAATTAAGATTATAAGATGATATGGTGTTATGAAAAGGTCTAAGGAAGCTGCAGTAAGCAACACTTTGAATATTCTGGTCAACGCCATAAGTAAAAGTCTGTTTAAAACCATCATTCAAGCAGCCAAACACAGGTAGAATGCTATTCTGAGTCCTAAGATACGATGTCAATTTCAATATATTGCTTCTTTGAGAAGAGGCAAACCTGTTTAAAAAACGTTGGATTTTTGTGCATTAATGCACATATGAACAAAATAACTCCCTCCTATATCTTATATTTTCTAGCTGGATATGACTAAATAAAAGGAATCTAAGATCACATGCAGATAAAATTTTAAACTGTTCATTCAAGCATATATTTGGATAAAGTTTAAAGCTAAACTAAACTAATTACAATTTATCATGATTCATATAAAAATTTTTGGATTTTAAAAAACAAACATTTTGATTTAATAAATGCTAAAAATATTAGTTATAAATAATTCAAAATACCCTATTAGAGATTGCAAAAAAAAAAAAAAATTATATATATATATATACAATAAAATAGTTGAACAGTACACGTTTAAAGCATGATAATTCTTGAATAAAAAATACTAATACCAGTTGAATTGGTTATTGAATAAGGTTACATTGAGCAAACCATAGAGTGATGTATGGTAATTATAAAAGAAGAACCTGTCCAAAAGGTTTATAAATGGGCTGGGCTTTTCAAATCCAGCTCAAATAGCTCTAAGCGCAGGCTCTACAACCTCTGTACTCAAAGTCACATATGACATATCCTGCACTGCAACCAAACGACATGTTGTTCGTACCCTAAGATGGGTCCCACAGAAAGCCGCCTCCACTTCCAACTTGGCAACTTCTTCAATCTTTTTTCTCCTTTTTTTGTGTTTCTGTACAGCTTTCAGTTATTAATCTAATCAGATACCACCAATAATCACTTGACACGTTGAATTGAGATGTTTGATCAAACTGAGGGAAAACCACATTTACCTCTAAGTATGCGGGACACTGTCCTTTCGGAAGACCAAAGGTACACCACTTTCGCCCCTCTTCTAGTTCTAGTCTCTGGTGCCCTCGAAAAACAACCAAAGAAAAGAAAAATAAAAAGGCAAAACAAAAAATGGGCTTCCAACTATATCACTAGTTTCAATTTTACCTCCAAACAAATATTTTTATCAATATCATCCTCTATATTTCCGAAAATTATATATTCAGTCTTTCCATCCAAATTCAATCGTATGCTCCATCTTAATTCTTTTTATATTTGTAAGAAATTACTTAATTTTTTCTTTTAATGAAATCAAACAGAAGACACCAACTGAGAAATCAAAATTCAATAAGTACAAAATTGAAAAACTATATGATTAGAAGTAAAACATCGCTAACCCAATAATTAGAGTATAACTTTGAAGCTCTCTCCTAAAAGAATAACATCGTCTCTCTCTTTGCCCAAAAGGCCGCTTTTGCCTTCCCAACTCTCCAAAGTGTAGCAAAACACAAACACAACACCTCCTCAACTCAATCTCTCTCTCTCTCTCTCTCTCTCAATGTATATATACACGTAAATGGTCTCTATTAACTTCAAAACAACGCCAACCTTTCTCTCTCTCTATTTTAATAACTGCTTAGTTCTTTTTGATTCATACTCATAGAGACTGAGTAATAAACATGGCTCTTGTCCTCAAGCTCCAATCTGTCTCTTTTTCTTCTTTTTCTGTATCAGCACAAAATTACAGCAAGGCTACTTCTTTGATTACAAATCCCCTTTGCTCTTTACACTACAAGAATTCACCTTTTACAGAGAAACACTCCATTGAGAGATACCAAAGAGATCAGTGGCTTTATAAGGACCAGTTGGAGTTGAATCAGTATCAATCTTCTTCATGCTCTTTGCCCTCTCACTCTGGGTCTACAAGGGAAAATGACATAGCTTTGCAGCTACCTGAGTTGAAGAAGTTGCTTCAAGTGCTTAAGGGAAAGAGAGAGAGTTGCCGTGGTAATGATGGCGATGGAGAGAAATGTGGGCCTGGGAATGTGTTTTTGGTGGGGACAGGACCTGGCGATCCTGAGTTATTGACATTGAAGGCTGTGAAAATCATACAGAAAGCTGATCTTTTGTTGTATGATAGGTTGGTTTCTAATGATGTATTGGAGTTGGTTGGTCCAGATTCCAGATTGCTTTATGTTGGCAAGACTGCTGGATACCATAGCAGAACTCAGGTAAGCTGAAAATGAAAAAGGGTTCTTTTTCTTTTCTTTTCTTTTTTTTTTTTCCTTAGACATTTTCTTTTTGAATTGGGGTTTTGAGGTTTTTGTTTCTGTTCATGTTTAGGGCTTTTGAGAATCGGGTATTTGGGTTTTGTTTAGGGATTATGAAATCTGGATTTAGATTTCAGTATTTTTTAGTGTTTCTAAGAGATTGTTATTTAATTTTTTATTGAATTTAGCTGTTGTCTTAGAGCAAGTGTAAAGAATTGATGTATAGGATTTTGGGTTAATTTTATGTAAAATATATTTCAAAATATTGACTTTTTAACTTTTTTTAAGTGTATTATTATTATTATTATTATTATTTATTTTTTTCCTTCGGGGCTTGGTTAACCATTTGATAAAATTTCTGGTTGGTATGCATGGTTTTAGGGGTAGTAGATTACGGAGTTTCTAGAATTGGGGTTCTGTTGAAATGAGTTAAAAGGAGTTATTTTGTGATGGGATTTTTTGCAGGAGGAAATTCATGAATTGCTTTTAAGTTTTGCTGAAGCAGGAGCTACTGTTGTGAGACTTAAAGGAGGTGATCCGCTGGTATGTTTCTGATTTAAAATGCTGCTAGAGTTAGCCAATGATTGCAATGTAATGTGCTTTGTAGTTAAGCTTTTGGTGATATATATCATTGCGTTTAAAAGGTATTTGGGAGGGGCGGAGAAGAGATGGATTTTCTGCAACAGCAGGGGATTCAAGTTAAAGTTATTCCAGGTATAATTCCGCACATCTCCTTGATCCAATTACCAAGTTTAGATAACAGTAGCATGTTTGGTTGTCTCATGATGAATGGAATGTGGGAGATGATGGCCTTCTCCAAGAGTCATGATAGAAATTTGAAATTATGTCATTTGAAGAAATTGAATCCTTATAGTTTAACATTCATCTTTCAATTTATTCTGGTGTGAATTATTCAATGCTTTTTCTGCCATTAAACACTCAACCTTTTCGTGGAAAAGTTAGGCATGCCATAACTAGACATGGAATGCTGGAATGGAATTACCATTGGAAAGGTATTTATGACATGCTTTATTGCTAAAGGTGTTTAAGTAGGAATGAGGGAGACTTATGGAATGTTATCAAACCACTTGTTCGTAACATGTTCTCTAGCATGAGGATTCTTTTCTTAATACATTAAAGAAAAAACTCTAGGTTTGTATGCTGGAAGTGGTGCTGTCCCTTCACATTGACACATCTAAAATCTCTATCTGTAGATACTGGAGATAAAGTGTGTTTGTTTTATGAAGTTAGTTTGGTGCCCAATGATACTCGACTGCATTTCATATTTTCTTTCTCTGGAAGAGGAATTGAGAACAACAAAAAAAAGGGGTAGAAATCGAAACATGCTTTAAACTGGTGTTCTTTCCTAGACAATAAATTGTGCCTTAGATTCATGTAAGTCAAACAATACCACACTGTTTCAACTATTTTTGCTTTCCTTTTCTGCTACCACACCTCTTTAATTCATTTTGCACTACTGTTCTGCTTGAGTAGGCAACCTTGCTTTTCTTTTTCTAAGCCTGATGGTTTTCTGGTTTGGGAAGTGAAACAAACTCATATTATGGATGGCAGTGTGATTTCTCTGCTCATTGTTGTTCAGGTATCACTTCTGCTTCAGGGATCGCAGCAGAGCTTGGGATTCCACTAACTCACCGAGGTGTTGCAAATAGTGTTAGATTCCTAACAGGTCATTCAAGGAAAGGAGGAACAGATCCCCTCTTTGTAGCCAAAAATGCAGCTGACCCTGATTCAACCTTGGTAGTGTATATGGGCTTGTCAACCCTTCCCGCCCTTGCATTGAAGTTGATGCAACATGGTCTGCCAGCAAATACTCCAGCTGCCGCAGTGGAGCGAGGGACCACACCCCAGCAACGCATGGTGAGTATGATTATCATCATATATGGCAAGCATCTTACAGTAAACCAGAAACAGAATTTGAAATACGAATATGGTTTTCCTTTACATTGTTATTATAACCATATTTCTAGATAATGAAGGCTTTATGTTTTTCAAGGGTTTAATATGGTTCAGCTTTTCAAAAATTTTCATATTGAGAAATGTAGTTGCATATACAATGGAATATGTGTTGCATAGATGTAAATTATATAGTTAATATCAGGGAAAACACTGATTATCTAGAAATATTTCCATGACATTGATGTTAACAAAATTTGTGAAATAGTTAAACAATGACAGTTTTTTTAGGTAAGATTGATGCAATTAAAACTCTCTTTTCTCTTTCTTTCATTTTTCTAAAATAAGTTAATTCTATCATTTTGAAAGAAAAAAGGAATAGGTGTAGCATAGATATAATAGTCTTTTTTTTGAGAAGGGGAGTTACTCTGTGCAAAGTCCTTTCATTCTGAAAAAATGAATAGCCATTGGAATGCTTTTGATCATTAGAATTTTGAACGTCATAAAATAAAATATTTTATTTGAGTTTTTAGGATGTATTCCAGATTTGTACGAAAAATGGGAGAACCCATTTGAAGGGTTGTGTCTTGTCGGATTTACCTCATTTAAATTCATAGAAACTCTATGCAGAACAAAATAGAATAGAAATGAATTAGTTTTGATATTACTTCCTTTTATGAAGTTTTAGGTTAGGCTTAAGGCTTGGAGCTGATACTGAGTAATTGTAACTATCTGCAAATTACGTTGTTGTTGTTGTTGTTGAGTCTTGTTGCAATTTCATATTTATTGTACTTCTGATCCTCAAAAGAGGCAACATTTTAAGCTGGAAAGCTTATGCACCAGAAGCCTGCCTATTGGAAGTGATCATGTTGCTATGAACTGATAATAGTCATTGCAATCACACAGGTCTTTGCCGAACTAAAGGATCTTGCTGTTAAAGTTGCGAAGGAAGAGTTAGT